AATTTTCATTAACTAGAGATATAGTGATAGAATGCATGGAGAGATGTTTTGAATCATATACAAACCATAGAGTCACTTTTAATTTCTTATATGACCTTCATTGTTATAGGAAATGTCAGAGGAACATCCAAATGCCATTATATAATCTCACATTTTAGCTTAAATTCCTTTTTTAAAAAAACTAAGAGAATTATACTTTATTACAATAGGATTCCACTCGAAAAATCTCTTTGAGATACAATGAAAAGGCTGTCTGAGTAGAGCCGTTACACTGTTTACTAAGGTTACTAAATATCACAGTTTGCCCAGAACTGAGAGGTTTTCAAGGGTGCTGGATGGCTCTGGGCAAACTAGGATGAGGTGGTGGTCACTCTCTTGTTTACTCTCCCATTTTATAAAGTTGTTGAAATGACCAACAATATCTTTTTATAAATTATCTCTTTATATAGAAGTAATATTCCTGTACTGTTTAAAATTAAGTATTTCATTTTGGTTTCTCTTATTTGACAAGTTTATTAGATTTCTTTGATATATAAAAATTATATATATGTAAGGTATACAACTTGGTGTTTTGATATGTGTATACATTGTGAAAAGATCACCATAATTAATAGTTATCATCAATCCATCACCTCTACGTAGTTACCACTGTGTGTGTGTGTGTGTGTGTGTGTGTGTGTTTAGATTTAATTGCAGATCGATCCTCAGCAAATTTCAAGTATGCAATACAATGTTGTTAACTATCACCTCCACAGTGTACATTGAATCCCCAGAACTCATTCGTCTTGCGTAACTGAAACTTTGTATCCCTTGACAAACGTCTTCTCATTTCTCCCTCCCACGCCCCACCCCTGGCAACCACCATTCTACTCTCTGCTTCTAGAAGTTGACTATTTTAGACTCCACATACTAGCCACATCAGGCAGTGTTTGTCTTTCTGGGTCTGGATTATCTCACGTTGCACAATGTCCTCTAGCTTCATCCTAGGTTGTTGCAAATGGCAAGATTTTCTTTTTTTTGAAGGCTGAATAATATTCCATTGTATATATATATACACCACTTTTTTTAATCCATTAATCCATCAATGGATATTTAGTTTGTTTCCGTATCTTGGCTATTGTGAATAACGCTGCAATGGACACAGAAGCGCAAATATGAGATACAGATTCCATTTCCTTTGGATGTATCCTCAGATATAGGATTGCTAGACTGTATGGCACTTCTATTTTTCATTTTTTGCAGAACCTCAGTACTGTTTTCCGTAAGTGCCGCACCGATTTACATTCCCACCTATAGTGCACAATGGTTTATTTTTCTCCACATTCTCACTAACATGTATCTTTTCTCTTTTTGGTAAGAGCCATCCTAACACATGTGAGGTGATATTTCACTGCTGTTTTGATTTGCATTTTCTTGATGACTAGTGAAAACTGATTGTATGAAGAGTCAATAGTTTAGAAAACTTGTATAAAAATTTATATTTTGAAATAATTTATCAGAATTATTGCAACCTGTAAAATACTCTTAGCTCTAGTAACAGTTACATTGGCGGAAAGATCCTGAAAATAAAAATTACCAAGATCATTTGTGATTTTTCAATTGCCACGAGTAACAGATATCACTTTCAATTATAGAGATTGAAAATTAAGTTACTAAAAGTATAAGTTTTGATGACCTAATAAATGAATTTGCAGAAAAGCATGGCATAAAAATCTTATGATCAATGAAAAAATCACATTAATAGATTTATTGTATTACAGAAAATGGTGACACTGAAATATTATTTTTTTGCAATTTGTAAGTTTATGTCATTAGTCATGTGTCACTTTTATCCTTATCATGTCTTATAATTAGTAAAATATCTTTTAAAGGAAAAGTTTTATATTTTTTGTATCTTTATCTGCTCTCTTTTCATACTGCTTTTTGAAATAGAGACCCTGGTGATCACATTTTGTTGCAACTAATCCTTTATATAACATTCTTTACAGTTTTCTTTTTCCTATACATTGTCTCATTTCTTCCTCACAACAACCATATGAAGGCATTACCCTAATATCAAGTTAAGAAATAGATGCTTTGAGAAATCAAATTGGACTCTTGACTCAATCAAATGTTTTTTTCTGATTGTTATGGGTATGCATGCGCACATCAGTCCAGAAGAGGTAGAATTTTCCATTTAGATCAGTTGCCAAAGGCGCTAAGAATGCTTTGATATATTTGCTCTTTGCCCTTTAAGAAAACAAGTCTCTTAAGGGGGACTGGCCCAGTGGTGTAGTGGTTGGGTTTGCATGCTCTGCTTCAGCTGCCTGAGGTTCACAGGTTCAGATCCCAGGCACGGACATATGCACTGCTCATCACGCCACGCTGTGGCGGCATCCTGCATACAAAATAGAGGAACATTGGCACAGATGTTAGCTCAGCAACAATCTTCCTCAAGCAAAAAGAGGAAGATTGGCAACAGATGTTGGCTCAGGGCCAATTTTCCTCACACACACACACACACACACACACACACACACACACACAACCCAAAAACAAAAAAAAAGAAAACAGGTCTCTTGAAACCAAGGCTACTTATTTTAGCTTTCAGAATCCAGAATGAAAGGAAGCAAGCTTTCTATGATAAAGATCTTTCCTGAGGTTTAACCTTGCCTTCCAGCGTTTCCTGTTACTCATCTGTTAATGTGTCTCTGCCAATTAAGGAAGGTATTTTTTTCTGTATTCCCCTTTCTTCACTTTTGCTATTTATTCTCCATTTGTAAATCATCTAAAAGTTTGTACCTGCCACCAATATTAGACTTCCTTTAACTTTTCATATGATTCAGGTCTCTAGCCAATTTCTGTCATTCCTCAAAGAAAAATAAACAAACAGCTATGGAAATAAAGCTTGGAGTCACCCTGCTGAGGGAGAGGTTCTGAAAGGTGTCCAGCTCACAGAAACCAATCTCTACATGTCCTTCCAGGCTGACAAGGCAAGCATTGACTGCTCTGTGCCTTCACAGCACCGACAGAGGAGTCTTTTGGGAACCCTGGGAAACACTACCTATCTAGATGAAGATTTGTCTCTGCATAACCACCAACACACACTTGATATTATAGCACAACGGCCAAGAACATAGGTGGTCCTGGACTAGGCAACCTGGGTTTGAGTCTTGACCTTGGGAAAGTTGTATAACTTCTCTGGGCTTTTGTTTCCTCATATACAAAATAGAGCTAATGATAGCATTTACCTAATGGAAAGTTATTATGAAGATTAAATGAAGAAATGATTAAATGAGCTAATGTCTGGTTTAAGTAAAGTACACATTTGATAACTATTACTAATTGCTATTTGTGAAACACTTCTATAACAATCAAATCAATCTTCTATTCTCTTTCCAATCAATTGGTTTGACTGTACTTTTATTTTTATCACTCAAAGGATAAAGCTCATTAAGTTTGGTTAAGATAATTAATAAATTAAACCATAGAACAGGTTGCTGGAGAAGAAGACTGACAAGGACTCCTTTCCCACATGGCCACAGAGTGGGGTCACCTGCTTATCTGAAGGAGTGACCCCATCTCAAGCTTCCAAGACCCATATTCTGATCCTTTCCCATCCCTGTTGGCAGCATTCCCAACAAATGCCTCAAGAACATAGGTTCTCCTTTCTCTCATCAAACTATAGTTGGCAAACATGTTAATAGACAAAGGTCCTAAACTTAAATGGCTGAAAATGTGTATCGGGTGGCTCCCCTCTCTGATTCTTTGTCTTTGTAATAGAGCCCTAGAGTGTCAAGACAATGAACTTGTTGTCCTGTTGACATCAGCCTTTTGTGGGTGTTAATGTTGGAGGAAAAGAGGGCTTCCTGGAATACCCTCCTTGGGTCAGAGTGCGTGTATCTGCTCACAGGTTAATGTTGCCCAGGAAGAATTCATATCAGCAGCAAATAAGATTTGGGGGTAAAAATAGTCATGGGTATTTGTTTAGTTCTTGATAAATTCAGGATAAATTCTGAGTGCATTTCATTTGGTTTTCCCAGCATCAGTGTGGTCAAACAAAGGATCTCAGTGCAGGAGCAGGGACACAAGCCTTGGCTTCAGAACTCCAGGTTTCTATTTCAGCTCTAGCATTCCCTCTGTGTAAGCTTAGAAAAATGGCTTATCTCGCTAAGTCACAGCTACTAACCTAGGAAATCGAGAGTTAAAAAAAATGCTGCACTTCATGGAGTTGAGGCGTTGATGAGATAAGGCCACTGATGATATATTTTCTTTCCCCAGAAATCTGCAGTTTGGGAAGTTCAAGCATAATAAAAAGCAGAGTAAAATCAGAAAGTTGATCTTGGGGTCTGAGGTTCTTCCCCAGCCCCGTCTCCCAGAACTGCTGCCCTGCCCCCAGATACAGCTGGAACTTGGGCAGCAACGGGGGACTGCCCCTCAGTCCCAGTGAGGTCTCTGGGCACAGTGGTGGCAAACTTGGGGACTTGGTAAAACAGATGATCAGGACAGCAGATTTTGCCTCCCGGGGGATAGATAATGAAAGAAGCCATGGCTGCCAACACCCGTGTGGGGAAGGAAAGATGGATGGAGTCTGTGACGTTTCTGCAGTGAGGCAATGAAACATCTAATGCATTTCCAGGTAGTGTGAGGTCAGCTATAATGGTCGTAAAGGAACTTGAGGCCTCACACTATGATATCAGTAAAGAAAAACAGATCACCATGAACACAGAGCCCTAGGCGACAAGACCATTTCTCTTTGGAAAAAATGGCTTAGCAGAAAAATTGCAGAATTCAGGCTCAGCATTAGCAACTTCCAGAGCTTCCACAGTATGGACTCAATCTATTCTTCTCTTTTTCGTATCTTAAAAGACAGATTTTGTAGATGGAACTATTTCTATATCTTTGTGTCTTAGGTAGGACTTGGGAATATATCTATGTTTTATTATTCAATTATTCTCTAATATTTTTCATATTTTTATGTTATTACTAATAAGATTCAAGTTATTTTGTAAATTCTGTTTACTTTTTGCGTTCCAGTTGTCACATTTTTTTCCTTTGTAAAAAATTTTCTTGCCTTCCTTCGGATTGATGTAAGCATTATTTCTAGAGAAATATTATTTCTTATTCCACCTTTTCTGCTGATTTGGAAATTAATTAGTCTACATTTTCTTATCAATTAGCCTAGAAATTATAATAAGGCTAATTAAACTGGCACAGTACAAAGCTAATTAATAGCTTTACCTTCCTCTCCAACAATATAAAGCTCTTAATTCTTTTTATTACCATCATTCTTCTTCTGAATATAGTTGTTATAATATTTTAATTTCTTTTCTCCTTTTTTCAACCCCATGAATCAGGTATTTTTATTATTATCGCTGCTTTTTGCCATCAATACGAGCTTAGATGTAACCATCCCATCTTCTTGATCACCATTTCTTCTTCCTTCTGTGACCTTACTTCCGGGGGCATTTTCTTTCTTTCTGAAGAGCATACTTTTGAATTAGGTTAATGTGTGTCTGTGAGTAATAAACATGCTTAGGCTTGCATATGTTAGGGTTCAAATTTTGCACTTATGCTTGAAAGATATCTTTGAACAGTTTTCAGATGCTGCTTCCCTGTCTTCTGGTTTCCAGTGTGGATATAGTGAGCTACTGTCGGTACAATTATCCTTCTTCTGTAGGAAATCTGTCCTTTCTTTCTGATACTTTTAACGTCTTCTGTTTGTCTTCAGCGGCTTTCAGTTTCACTAGAAGCATTTCTAGATAATATTGCTTCTTTAAATTTATCCTACTTGAGTTATGTTGGGCTGCCTGAATTTGAAGACTCAGTTTTTCGTCAGTCCTGGAAAAGGTAAGTTACTATGACTTTAAAGTTTGACTCCCCACCCTTTCTCAATAAAATGCCTTCTGGACCTCTGATTTTCTCTATGCTGCACCTCCTCATTCTGTGCCTTTCACCATTTATTTCACAAAGTATACCTGTCTCGCTGTACGGAGAATTACTGCTGATCAGACTTCAGCTTGTTTAATCCAGTGGTTGATTCACTCTGAATTATTATAGTGTTAATTTCTAGATAATTTATTTGGTTATTTTTTAAATCTACCTGGTCATTTTTATAATTTCTTAATCCTATTTTTGATTCCTTTTTTTTAGGTTAGCATACGTGTATACAGTTATACTCCTGTGGATTTTAGCATCTGAACTTTTTGCAGAATCTAATATATTCTTAGCTGCTTTGGCTGACTCTCATCATGGTGCCCACTTCCCTTGTGTGTATGTGTTTTGTCCTGTTGTTTTAATGTTCCCTGAAATGTTGTCTGTTCAAATTATTTGAAGTCTAGTTTGAGTTCCTAAATTACTCCAGGGAATATCTGCTTGTGTTTCTGCGGGGCACCTAAGAAGACTATCTCCAATGGTTATATAAAATTCTTAGCTTGGGCCTTTTTGGAATACACAGGTATTTCAGACCCCAGAGGTACCTGAGGTCCAAGCGATGGTTAGTAAATCTCTGGAGATAAGACTACCCCCTTCCCCCAGGATTCAAAGCCAAAGGGTTTCTTTGCACTTTCTTTCCGGGGGGTAATTTTTCTACTCTACCCCTTTTTTAGATTAAGGACATAGCTCTTGGTTATCCTGGCTTTGTGCTGGAGTTTCCCATACAGCCCCTCTCCTTGTGCAGGTTGTAGGCTTTGCCTCTGTCCCCTTGGGCCTGTTAAGGTGCGTGTGCTCTTTCACGGAGGATCACGGATGTCCCCCAGGAAGTGGAGGCTTTAGTTCTTATCTCTGGATTTGGGTTCCATTTGGCACTTGGCCTTGAGTTTTTTCTTTAGTATCTTTTCAGATTAACCAATCATGTACATTATATATAATATATGATATTTATTAGGTATAATATATGCTAATATACATTATAATAATAAACGTATAATAGATAGATACAATAAATATTTATATGTAAGTATTTACATTTTATCCCTCTTACCCAATTTTCTCCACTTACTTCCTTACCCCTTTTACAAAGCTCCACTCCTTCCCTGTCCCCAGTCCAAAGACGTTTGTAACTAGCTCCAGTATTCACTTCTTTATTCATTCACACTTCCACGTATTTAGCAAACGCTGACTTTCTCCTCCAATGAATCAAGCCTTGTGCTTGACATTTGGGACCCAAGGATGAATAAGACTTGGTGTTTGTGGGCAAAGAATACACAGTCCACTGGGGGAGAGAGACCAGTAATCGGGTGGTAACCTAGAGTGTGAGAACTGAGGCAAGTGCTGGCTGATCTAGAAGCACAGAGGCAAGGAACACAACCCAGACTGGAGTGGGAAAACCTTTCCAGCTTCTAGAAGACACGACACCTGAGACGTCTTATGAAGCAAGCATGAGAAACACAAAAGGATTTTCAGGAGTAGCGTAGGATTAGGCAAAAATTACTGATCGTCTAAACATGGCCGATAGTTTTCCAGCACTGTGTTTTTGCACATTATTTTCTTCCAATATGATTTTTATGCTTTATAAAAATTTTGAAATTCTTATATCACTTTAAAGTTAAAGCTTAGCATTTCTTCCTCTCTGAAGTCCCCTTCCCCACCCAGAACTCTCAGTAAAAATTAATATTTCCCCATTTTGTCCTCAGTGTTTCCCATCATTTGACTCCTAACTCACTCATGGGAACTCTTTCTCAAATTGTGGTTCTTTACAAGTGGGTTCCCATGGTTTGTGACTTTCTTCACAGCACGGTACTCACATTACTCTCCTCCGTAACCTCATGGCCCTAAACTTTCACTTTTACTCTCCCACGGCTCTGCTTTACTAAATCAGGAAATAACAAGATCAAACAACTTTAAACACAACAGGATGGACCTGGGCTAGACATGGAGTAGGACTGCTCAATAGGAACGGTTGTTACAGGTGGAACAAGTCAAAAAGGGGCAGCATGAAACAGCGGCTGGCATTCTGTCCTGAGACACAGCAGTATAGTTGTGAGTTCTTCCTCTGGTTCCAACTCACTGTGTGATCTTAGGACTCTCATGTTGAAGGTAGAGGGGTCAACCTATGGGAACTGGATTGATCGGAGAGATAGTGGAGAAACGGGCCAGAATGATTTGCATATTTCTGGTTTGGCCATTGGCCAAGTAGTGATTTCATCCCCTGAGAGAGATCTGGTCTAGTGGTGGTGTAGTATGGAGATAATGACTAAGAGTGGGACATGCTTGTGAAACCTACAGGTGGAAATGACTAGTAGGCAGTTGAGTATAGAGATCTGGAGCTCTGTAGTCTGCTCTGGTGAGGAGTTATAAAAACAGAAGGGCATAAGTTCAAATTTGCCTAATCCCTTTTCTTCATGATTTAGTTGATTCATCCATCAGTTTTCAGCTTTCAAATGAAGCACCCAAAATATTTTACTATGACCCCATCTGGAGTATACACCCACCACTCCTAAATTCTCCCTATCATTTTTTTTGTTATTTTTTGGACAGAGGATATGAGATAAGAAGACATGAGTTTGCCTCTCCATAATTCCTCTACCTGTATCGCCTGGGACATGACCTTATCCCCCTCTGAGCATCAGTCTCCTTTATCTGTACAAGGAGGGACTGGAAGAAATGATCTCTCAGGTCTCATTTGCATCTAAATTCTTCTGATTCTCACTTTGGTGTGGAGGGAAAATTAGGATTGAAATTAGGAGCAGAACTTTGTCTAGAACTTCCCAGGCTTTCTTTGACTCTTGCTGCATCAGTAAAAACAGAAGTGCTCTCCACCCCCATAGCAACTCTCCTGCTGCTCCAGACCACAGGATCAAAGAGGAGAACTGGCAAATAAAGAATGTAATTGAAGAGTGGGATCAGAGGTCAAATTTTTGTTGCCTTATTTTCCTTTTTATGAAATAAACAAACAACAACAATAACGAAACCTTAATAAGTTAAGACAAAATAATGGAAAGAATTGCATTGAAATCTTCATAAGCAAAGTTTCCCTTTAGTGAGAATGCTCCAGGGTCTGCAGTTTAGTGCAACAAAATTACATACAAGTAAATAAATTATTAGACTATCACAGTAGAGGTATGTATTTGATCTTCTGGGAGAACTCTGTTCATATCTTTTTAATGTTATTTTTTTTCTTTTAAGTCTTTCTCCTCTAGTAGACATCTTAAGACCAGGGCCTGAATCTCATTCATCTTCATACCTTCAATTCCTGAGTCCATGCTTGACACTCAGTAGATGTTTGTTGACTGAATGAGAGTCATTATTATAATAGAATTGTTTAACACAAAATCTATATCTGCAAATGGCTTAAAAAAAACCCAGAAAAGAGTCATTAGAAAGTGAATTTTGACTTCTTATTTACAGGGTCTTATTCTTATTTACTTTCCAGAGTAAAACCCTTAAAAGATATTGTCCTTGAATGGTCCAGAATGGTCCTTGAATGGTCCTTGGGCATCGAGCCCAGTAATATTTACCAATAGATTCTAGATAGTCTTGAAGAGAAGAGAAGGAAATTAGGAGCTCCTGCAAGTTCCACATCAGAGGCTTTAAGAAGTGCCACTGTAAACAGCAGGGTTGAGAGAGTCTTGAATCACAGAAAGAGCTTATAGTGGGGGAAAATGATGCAAATAGATGCAGTTAGTTGAGGCTTGAGTTGAGATTTGACTTACCCAGGAAGCACGTTTTCTGCTTTGACTCTGAAAATTAAAAGTGAAGCTTGGGGTAGACATGAGTCATCAGGTGATAGGAACTTATGTGGTTCCCATAGCGTTCGGGATCCTGAAATTATGAGCGATCTTGATCTGCTGAACCCTGACTGGGTGGATTATACAGGCACAGAATGAGTTGAAAGATCATGGCAGTGTGTGCAGCAAGCATGAGCTAAATTCACTTATTCATCCATTTATTCCAGAGAACAATTTTTGTGAGCACTGTTTTATGCACAGGATTTATAACTATGAATGACATCCCATCTCTGCAAACAGAACTTGGGAGGGAAGACAAGAGGAGTGAATGGATCATTAGAAGAGAGTGTGCTCAGTGCTATGACAAATATAAGCACAAGGTGTTCTGGGAACCCATCAGAAGAGTACTTAGAAGTCATCTTGGGGGATGAAGGAAAGGTCTAGGAAGGCTTCCCAGAGGAAGTGATATCTAAACTGAGACCTGGAGGATATCTCTGAGTCAACTAAGAAAAGGCAGGGTAGGAGGATTCAGGTAAAATGGATGGTATGTGCTGGAGCCTAGAAGTGTGGGAGCCTAACAAATACATGAACTGCCAGAGTCTGGAATGTCTGAAAACAAAATCATAGGTGATATAAAGTTGGGAAAGGGGGAGGGCAGATCACAAAGGGTTTTGATTTCATGAGAGAGGTCTGGATTCCTCCTTATGCAGTTGGAGACACTGATACACGTGAAAGGAAGTGACATGACCAGAGGCCACAGACTGCAGAGCAAAGATGGGACTGAAGTGGAGCGGGAATGAAGGTACGGAGCCCATTTAAAGGCTGTTGTAGTAGAGGTGGTAAGAGATGATGGTGGTGTGAAGGAAGTTGGAGGAAGTGAGGGTGGAGGTAGGTGGAAAGAGTTCAAAGAAATTAAGAATAGAAGCCATAGAACTTCCTATGTGATTGGAAGTGAGAGCCACAGGAGGAGGGGAGGCTCAGGATGACAGCAAGGTTTCCAGCAAGAGTTCGAGATTGATGTGTCACCCCTCATCACGGGACAAAGGAGGAAGAAGAGTTTCAGGGACTAAGAGGAGTTTAGTTATATTGAATTTAAAGTAAATTTGGGATACGCAAAAGGAGATGTCCTCTAGCTAATTGGAAAGAAATTTGGATTTGTGCTAGAATTATAGACTTGAGAGTCATTACAAAATAAAAATTAATTATAGCTCTGGGAATGGGTGAAATTTCAAAGTTGAATTTGACAGAGTGAGGACCTAAGGGGAATAAGAAAGAAACCAGGAAAGAAATGGGCATTTAATGGGTGATATAAAGAAGGGGAGATGCCTAAGGAGTACTTAGAGAACTGGGAGGAAAATGAGAGAAGATAGGTGTTGAAACAGAGGGAAGAAGGTCTTTCAAGAAGGAAATGAACAGTTAGATGGGCAAGAAAGATTGAAGTCCAGACAGTGTCCTGTGACTTGCATAACAAGAATACCAATGGTGACCACTTGTGAAAGTCGTTCCAGTGGAGTGGTAGAGATGCAACCAGGTGGCATTTGGTGGCAATGACTGGAGGGGACTATGGGGAGGTTATAAGGGTTGGCATGAATCTCAAGAAGCATTGTCAGCCTGCACAGCCAGCCCTGGCTGTCCCATCAATGAAAAATATAGCAGGCAGACCTAGAACTCTCTTCTTTTTCTTTCCTAATCCATTAATCATTAATATGACCCCACCCCACCCCAGCCCCATTTTGAACCATTACCACTCCTAGAGAGAATGAAGAGAATTGGATCTATCTATTAAAAGTATGGGTCCAAATGGCCTGATAACACAGTGAATGCCTAGTCTTGAGTTTTAATTCTTGTACCCTATACTAGCAATCCCATTTTGCTCAAAACTTAATTTCTCTGAACCTTAATGTCTTCATTTGTAAATTTGGGATAATAATAATCTGTACCTGATGGATTTGTTGAGAGAATTCCATGAGAATATGTATGTAAACCCCCCAGCACAGTGCTTGTGTGCAATCGTCTAGACTACCTTATTGCATTTGTGAGGAAATTAAGGCCCTAAGAAGAAGGCTGACTTGCTTTCACTTGATTCAAAATATTGAAGGCAGATTTTGAGCTGTGGGTGAGAACTTTCCTTCCCTTTTACAGATGAGAAAACTGAGACTTGGGGAAGAAACATGCCAATGTTGACGCAGGTAATTTGTTGGGGTGCTGGAGCTGGGCTCAGGTCTCTTTATTCCAACATCTAGGCTCACCCGGGCATCAAAAGTCTGGGACAGAAATGGAAAGTAACCATACCTTCTACCTCTTTCCATCCTCCTCTGCTCTGCCAATTTCTCAAGACCAAAAGAGCAGTCTGACTTGTAAGGGTTTCTAAGAATTATCCCAGGATCTGGTTTAGCATCTGGATCGAGCTACAATCAAACTATCTACAAGGCTCTAAGGATGTCGTCGCAGGCTGGTCGGCAGGGCCACTGCACACTCCCCTCTCCAAGACCAGCACATGGGGTGCTCTATCTCCTCCCTCGCCTCCTCTCTTCTCCGCTGCTGATCCCTCACGATAAAGCCAGGCAGATCTGGGTTAAGGTCAAGCTCTACTGCCACCTCTGTGACCTTGCATTTAGTGTGGAACTCCTCGCAGCCTCAGTTTCTGGAGCCGTGTATACTAAATAATTAGATATTCCAAGTCCACCTCAGGGAGCTGGAGTGAGGTTAAAACGAGACAATATGTATGTGAGTAATAAACTCTCATATGGAAGGTAAATACATTATATTGTTATTAAGAAATCAGCTTATTTTGCTGAATTTCAAAATTAGGTTTTTAAAATTACCATGTTCCTGTTATTATTGTGGTTGTTGCCTCTGTTGATTCAAAGCCGTGGAAAGGGCACAGGGTGCTGCCTTTCAACCTTTACGTGTCTGTCATCCACTGTAAAGTTTGCCTGGAATAGTCTGGAATTCCTCAGCTCCTTCACCTGAAAATGGAGATTAAAATACTTGGCTTGCAAGATTGTTGAAAACTCAGGATGAAATAATAATCCTGGAACTAACCTTCAGAAATAAGTATCCATGTCAGTCCGTGTGTCTTCATTTCCTGGTGTTTAAGGAGACCGGAGCAAAGTAAGCAAGTGTGGTTTTAAAATAAACAAACCAAATGGAAAACGGAATCTGTTTCCAGAAAGGACATGCTGAAACACCCGAGTGGACTAAGTCGCTCAGCTACTAATTCTGAGTTTGGAGTGAGGCTTGCTTCAGCTCACCCTCCTCCAGAGAAAATGAGGACTGAATCTGAGTGGTAGCAGATAAGGGAAGGCAGGGGGCAGTTGAGGGAGGATGGGTTGGAGATGACAAAGAGAGAGAAAGCCCTGGAAGCTCTGAGCACAGAGAAGTGTGCTCCTGAAATGCCCACCTGCCTCCAGCTGCCCTGCAGAGCACGGGAAAGAACGCAGTGAGGTAGAGAAGGGCTGGATGAGAGGGGTCCCAGGGGGCCTGCTCACTTACCCTGCACTGGAAACCATCTTTGAGGCCCATGACTTCCAGTCCATGAGGATTGATGTGTCACCTGCTATGACAGCTCGTGTCCCTCACATGCGGCTGGCTTCATCCTCAGGGAGAGCCCCTCAAGGTAGCGGAGGGGCAGGGGCATCAGGGGCCTCAGATTGGATCCTCTGTGGGTCTCGTGCGGAACATCAGCTTGCGGACAGAGCATCCACCGCAGGCTTTCTTTGGGTGTTGTCACCTCAATTTTAGTCTCAAGTCTGATGTTTTCTGATAACATACTACATAGTTCCTCCTCCTGCCCCAAAGAACTTTACAAGATAGACTCTTGCCTAGAGGGAGCTTTGGGAAAATATTAATAAGCCAAGTGGCCAACTTCTGCCTTTCTCTGTAGGTAGAAGTTGAAACCTTGTGAACGGAGTGCAGTCCAGATTACAGAAGTGTGGTGAAGAAGAAAGAACAACCTGAAAAAGACAGTGCACTTTATTTGCTTAAGAATTACTTCTAAATATCTATTATGCAGCAGGAACTCAGATGTACAATGGGCCCTGTCCTCGTGGAGATAACAGACTATTGGGAGATTCAGTCTTAATCAAATAACTATGTTCAAAGAGGACAGAGGACACAGTGGGATAAGTGCTTTGAAGGAGAGGAGTATGGTTTATGAGAACATGTAAAAAGGGACCTGGGGTCAAGCATGATGTCCTTCAACTTGAGTCAGTTCAAGGAGATGGGGAGCGTTGGGGAAGAATTACAGGAGGGGAGGGACGAGCATGTGCCCAGTTGCTGTGGTGGGAGGGGCAGTAGGAGGAGCCTCAAAGATGGCCACGCAGGCATCCTTCTCCCCGCCTGAGCAATAACCTTTCTTGAGTGGTTTGTGTGTTCTGGGCTCTGAGCTAAGCACTTTATCAGCATACAGTATCTTTTTCAATGCAGCTTTACTTGCTTAATACCTAGTCTGTTAAAACTATCTTTTAAAGCAGTGGAACATTTTCTCCTAATGAAGTCTTAGCCTTAGCCAGAAGTTCAAATTATAAAACAAACACAAATAGAGGTGCTTGGGTTGAAGTAGGGCCGAAGAGCCAGTGTCCCTGAGTTCTGGAATCCCCTTCTCTTCTCTATGGGGCTGCGAAGGACAGCTTGACGACCATTAGACTAGGTGGTGATGACTCCATCGTGCTTCAATTTCAAAGGCAAAATTAAATTTCTTTCAATCTAATTGAGCAAGAGTTCAACTCAGAATTTGATTGCGTTCACTGGAAAGAACAGCAATCTTGGGAAAGTTAGTGAGTTGTTCGTGTTTCAGACTTTCGAACTCATAGGGTTGTTTTGAGGCTGAAATTAGGTACTAATTAGTACATCGAATTAGTACATTAGCAAATCACACGGAAGATGCTGAGCACGTGGAGAGTGATGGGTAAATGTTAGCTCTCACCGCGATTGCTATTACTTGTTTCTGAATCTAACAGTCAGTGTAATGGTGGCACTTACAGTTTTCAACGGCTATTTGACAGGTCTTCACAAGCATCTAGAATCGTACGTGAACTTATTTACACACTGTAAGCTCCTCATCTCATGGTTTTATTGGAGAATGGTCTCTGTATTCCTCATTCTAGCTATTCATTGCCACGTGTCTGCCCAGCTTCTCTTGATCATGTGCGGTTAGCATCCACTTCCAGTCTTCCAGGGAGGAAACAATTAGACTCTATTTACACAGTTGTTTCACTATTGCAGGATACTTTCCCAGCTAGAATCGGGTATCGCCTTCTGCCAGGCTCTGGCCACCCACTTCTAGAAACTCTAGGGTGATGTTTGTGTTGGGCTTATTTTTATATAACAATAAAGCCAGATATTCATTCATTTATTCATTTCCTTTTACTGAATTAAAAAATAGGTCAAATAAAGGGTAGGCCTCCAGAGGGTTAAAAATAATACAAATTCTACTCTTGGAGGACTCGGGGTCTCACAAGGAAAATAAGATATGTGCCTAGATGATCATAATACAAAGTAGAAAATGATCCTTATCTAAAAAATTTTTAGATAAGTTTTCTCGAGTAGTGAAAGGATGGAGTGAGAGAAGGCTTTGCAGAGAAGATGGAGATGCGGGTAGATGGTGAACGGCACTCCTGCTTAAGGAATTAGGGAGAGGATGTATGGAGAGTAGAGAGAGAGGGTTTGGCAGGAGCAGAGCATGTGAGGCTGGCAGTGGAAATGAGGCTGGCTGGCAAGACTGGGGACAGCAAGTGGAGGGCCTTGAGGGGCAAGTCCAGAAACAGTGCTTTGTTTGCTAGGCAAAGGGAAAGCTGGGGTCATTTTGAGTAGGAGATTACCATAATTATGACTGTACTTGAGAAAAAAGGAATCTGCTGGTGACTTTTAGGATGGGCTGTGTCTGGGGTGCCTGATGCCAGGGGGGTTGCATCAGTGGTCCAGGTGACAGGCAGCGATGGTGGAGATGGGGAGATGGGGAGTGGGGAGCAATCAATCAATAATCATTGACAACTGTGGAGTATTGCCAATCAGGAAGAGGGGGAGTCCAGAGGCCACTGCGATGTTACCTACCTGGATGATAGGAGCGTTGTTACACGATTCCCAGGTTGGCCTGGGGCCTGCCTCTTCCTGGAGCTCTGATGACCGTGTTGCCACAATTGGTGTTTCAAGCTGTTGCAGAGAGCGCCTGGCACTTACTGCCGTGCAGTGTGCGTGCGTTCATTTTTGTTTTCCTTCCAATGTCTGCAACACCCCCCAGGCCTGGTGCTCCCTCTGGTCCCCTGCTGTTACGAACCACGCTTTGTTCCTCGTCTCTCATTTACATTCAACCAATGTAGACGAAATGATCGTCAAATGATTTTTTTTTCAAAATGGTTTCTTTTCTTTCAAAATGATTCTTTGACTGTTACCTTGCTCTTTATTAAAATGCTCAAAGTTCTTTCAAGTCCTCCATAGCAATATTTACAAAATTTGGTATTTATTGAGCACTGGCTATTTGTTCTGGGTGTTAAAAACAGAGCAGTGAATAAGGACAGCGCGATTCTGCCCTCGCAGAGCTTACGTTGTCGTGAGGGAGAGTCTCTCTCCTCAGTGTTCCCTTCTCGCCCCTTCTGCACTTGTTTGTTCTCCTTCATTTCTTGTCTGCTACATTCTCTCCTCAGTGGTCTCCTTGGCGCCAGTGCCAGCCTGTAGCTCCATGCTTTACTTTGCTATTTCTTAAGAACAGCGCTGGTCATGTGCCTGCCCCCCTCAAAAGCCTTCAATGGCTCCCTATTCCCTATTGGATAAAATCATGCCTCACAGAGAGACATTCTAATACTCACTATAACCAGGTGGTCTGCTCTTGCTTCTGGGGAAGCTATATTGCCCAGAGATCAGGAAAAAGAAAAATAGGTCTAAACTTGTGAACAAAAGGACGTAAGATCTTTAAAAGTGTGAGAGTTCAGTATGTCCTCCACGCTTAAGCATGACTTGGTTATAGTTACACACACAACAGGCTTCACCTTATGGAGATGTCCGTGGGGTGGTGGAGTTGAGTGATGGAGGGAGTTTTAAAGTTTCCTTTGGATCAGGGCTAGTAAAACTTGGTGACTCTGATCACTCATGGAGGAAGGTGGTTTAGTGGGACAAGCACTGGCTTTGGAGTCACTGAGACTTGGGTTCAAATCCAGCTATGTGATCTCTGCAAGGCCCCTCTGTGAACTTCAGCTCCTCAACTATAACATGGGGCGATGGCACCTGTTTTCTGGTGTTATGATGAATACAGGTAAGATGCTGGTCTGTCAGAGTCTCATAGGTCCAAGTAGCCTCATGGAATTGCAGAATCATTGCCCATATCTGGTATGGGGACCATGTGGAAGTTTTCCAATGGCAGGGTTTTGGGGGAGGCAGCCAGCAGTGAAAGACAGCGGCCCTTCTGTGGCTAAAGAGAGTAGACATGACCATGGCTGGGAGTGTCTGAGACACTTGACTAGCGGAAGTGAAGATGGGCCAGCTCACTGGGAGTGTGGGGGCCTGGGTGATGCTCAGCTTCACAGTCCATCTCATCACAGCTGTAATCTGTTCATCATTTCATCCCTGAGTGAGTACTTTTTTTTTTTTTTTTAAAGATTTTATTTTTTCCTTTTTCTCCCCAAAGCCCCCCGGTACATAGTTGTGTATTCTTTGTTGTGGGTTCTTCTAGTTGTGGCATGTGGGACGCTGCCTCAGTGTGGTCCGATGAGCAGTGCCATGTCCGCACCCAGGATTCGAACTCACGAAACACTGGGCCGCCTGCAGCGGAGCGCGTGAACCCAACCCCTGAGTGAGTACTTTTGGATCTCTACTATGTACTAGGTTCTAGGCTGTGAGGAGCCCGACCTCATCAGGGAGCAAATAGCCAGGGGCTGGAGGGTCTGAGCAGAGCCGAGTTCAGGATGGGGGTAAGGGGGTGGGGCGGGAGGAGGTAAGCAGAGAGGAGACAAGGGGACAGACCAGGTCATGTAGGTCCCCATAGGCTTAGAAAGAGAGCCTAACAGAAGGCTGTGAATGAAGGACGTAAGAGTGAAAACTCAGATAATTAACAAGAGCTATAACTTGGATATTTTAAAAAAAGCTAAAAATAGATAAATTAAGATGTGACAGCAGGACTGCCATGTGCCCATGCCTGCACAACTTCTGGGGCCGCCATGCACTGAAGAGGGAAGGACTTGCCACCTGAGGACGAGGGAAGATGATGTGTGAGCATCAATGTCTGCACTAACAGGCTGACTGGGCATCCACTTCCGTCGAGATGCTGAGGACCAGAGGAGGCCAAGCACCAGGGGGTGAGCCTTTTAAGGGCATAGATTTGGCCACAACCATCTTAACATCCCCCCATGGTTAGCCTACCATGTAGTGATACCTAACAAAAATTTGTGAAATGAGTGATGTCACTAGGATGAAAACTCCATAACCAAGACACAAGCTATGAATCCAGATGACACAATGGCTAAATTCAGTAGTAACAGCAGACTGTCATGTGTGGTCTGGCAGGATGTTCCCTGGACAACGCCGGGGCTGATGTGCACAGCGCACCACAGTGGCCTGAGATGGCAGTGAGTGCAGTAGGCTGGAGTGGATGTCACAGAGTCTGGACCTTATCAGGCTCCTCAGTCCATCTTCAGTGTGGGGTTATCATGGGGGACAGCTGTTATTATGGGGGACAGCGTGGGGTTATTAGGGCAGGCATGGCTGCTGTCTTTTTCTCCATGTATGTGAGCTCAGCACAGGATACCTGCATTCTGTCCCTGGCCTGTCCCAGACACACCACCTACATGCGGCAGGTTGCTGAACCTCTCTACCCTTACCCTCCTGAGAGATAAAGCGCTGAGTTCTGCATCTAAAACGCTCTGACTATAAGATTTTCAATGATCCCGTTGGAATAATAAACCCGAGGTGCCCCTCCGTCTCCGTTCTCTTAACCAACTCCTTCCATCCTTTCGGACACAGTTCAGACTCCATGTCTTCTGAGAAGCCTTCTGACTCCCAGTCTGAGTTACACGTCCCTTCTCAAAACGTGTGACGTGCTGGGTCACTTTTGCCATAGCTCGTACCACGTCATTCCTGCCTCTCTGTGAGGCAGGGGGTTGTGTCTTATTTATCACTGTATCTCCAGTCCCACACACAACAGATGCTCCATAAACACTTATCAAATGAGAAGAAAGGCCTGCTGCTTAGGTTATAATTATGATGTTAATGTACGTGCATTCAAGAATTTCCGTTTATACTGCAGGCTGAACAGAGGTGTAACAAACAATGGGACGTACATTTAGGCATTCAAATATTTCTTTCCTGAGACATTTCAATCCTGAAGTGGGGAGAGGGATGCCAGGCATGTTTGCAATTTTCTTATGTATAAGATGGAAATGCAGGGAAACTTTCAAGGGTCCTCCAAGGTCTAGTGGGGTCCAGGCAGCCCAGTGATTTCTCATGGCAGAATCTCTGATGAAATCAGAGCCTCAGGGTGCTGACCTAATGTTCCATAAAATAGGCGATGCTGAAACCGGAGAACTTTGAAGGAGGGTATTTTTCTTGGGGCAATATTAGGAAAACATGTTTGCCTATGACTAATTCCCCTCCTGCCAACTGTTGGTATTATCTTTGAGGGTTTTCAAGATAAATAGATTTAGGCTGTTGTCAAGTTGCGCCAGACAAAAGCAAATAGACCCCAGATCCTTAATGTGTCTGCCCTTCACAGCGTCACCCCCCACTGCCTTGTCGCTCTGTGGTTTTGTGGGCTGCGGGTGGTGGGGAGATGGGGGAAGTGTGTGGAGAAGGAGTGCGTGCTATGGAGAGGAGAGCATCAACTCGGTCGGGAAGGGGGCTGCCAGAGGAGTCCCCAGTCCAATCAGTGCAGCAAATTACCCAGGATGTACTCTGTGCTCAGCCCTGGGCCAGGTACTGAGGATACAAATGCAAATAGACGCTGTCCTTGCACTTAACCTTGAGAAGTTACTTACATTAAAAATATATATATATGCAGAATAAAATTGGCTTATTGCTCTGTTGGCACATCACAAAATTGCTAATGAAAGCCCACTCCACCAGTGATCAAACGTGACAGTTCGAGCCCCAGCCCTGTCATGAACTGTCCATGTGATCCTGGGCACATTTCTTCCCTGTCAGCGGCTCGATGTCCTCGCTTGTAAATAGGAACTCCTTCTTTCTTACGAGATGCACTCTCTGGATCCTTCTAGCTTAGCTAATTAGCCTTTCAAAGTAACTAGAAACTGTGGGATGAAAAGAATTCATCTACCTGCCATAGAGTGCTGAGTCCCTTTTGCCTTCCTGTAATTACGTCATTTCACAAGGAAATTAAAACAACTTAAGGATGCTTTTCCTATTTTCAGTATTGGCATGGCCTTGTCTCTGACAGTGAGACAATAACTCTTGGTTAGTGCCAGATGCAGCGTCTCCTTCATGGACTGTGTCATAAAATCAAAACAGCTGTTTGGGGCTAAAAGTAACTTTCACTGAGCGCCAGATGTTCTGCTGGATTCCTTCTCCTGGGTTACCTGATTCGGCCCTCCTGGAAATACGCAACCACCCACCTGCCCCTGAAAATATTTCTGTAGCGTCCATACCAGGTGTTGGTGATGTTTTTCCTTTATCTTTGCTAACCTGAGAGTATGGCTGTATGTTGAATATTCTAGTGACAGATACAGACTCTGCTGCAGGCAAACAGCTCACCCCCAATAAAAATCACCTCTTGGTTGTCAGTTCCCACCAGCTGTGCCTTTCTCGCCTTTCCCAGCCTTCCTGGGAGCACTTGGAGTTGACTGTGTTGTAGACGTGCTGTTCAGGATTTATACCCTTCTCTTGTATGCTGTACTTGATTTGAGAATCACCCACTCATGGCCCACAGTCTGGTGGTGGTGTGAGAAATATTGCCACATGCAGCCAGTGGTGTGCTGGCCCAGCTCA